TTCTGATCAAAGTTTCAAAAGGAAAGATCAAATCCTGACAACAATATTCTCAATCAGGAAAAGAGAGAAACTATTATATTTATAAAATATTTAGAATAAATACCTTAATCATTCTCTTAAGAAAGACTCATTTTCTTTCCCTCCTCCCCCCATATACACTTTGGGAACAAAAGCTCCTAACAGACTGTTGGAAAGAGAGACACTATTTTCAAGGTCTTTTGCAACAGGCAGAGAAAATGTACCATTTATGGTGGGGATTTAGTCAAGCATTACAAGGAACACTGGACTAATAGATGTGACAGTGATGGGTTTTATAACATCTGTGTTATATAATGTCTTGATTTCTGTGGATGGCAAGTAGCAACCGGGCTGCATTGGACAGTGAGAAGTCATCTCTCAAAATAATACAATATGACAAGCCAAGTGCATTTTGGTTTGATTTGCACAAGAGATGAATATAGAATATCTCACAGCAGTGCAGCCATTCCCATATCAAACTAATGAAGTCAAAGGCGCTTCTAAGTTCCAGAAGTGTGGGGGAGAAACTTTGTGTTTTTCAAGAGTGTCAGCTTCTGTACTTAATGACTAGTGTACTGTAATATAGAATTTAAACTAAAAGTCTACCATGACTGGATTTGGGGTTTTTATTTATTTCTACATTGCAGTGGCAGTCAGCATACAGAAAACATGATACAGTGAGTTCAGCATGGGGGGACAATCATGTAGTTAGGAAGCAAAGCTTAATCTAGTTGAGGCCAGTAATCTCTGGATGTTGATGCACAGTGTCATGCACTGCCTTGTAGCATTTCCACATGGGTGATCTGTTACTCCGCAGCATAAGAATCTGCATTTGATTTCTTATTCTCTTATCTACTCCTCAGGGATTCAGTAAATCCATCAGAATTTTACAACTGCCATTCTCTCTGGGCTGTGACACATATGCAGTCAAGGATTAAAATCAGGCTCCTAAAGCAGTTGCCACTTGCAGCCTCTGCCCTGCTCTTCCGGCAGAGATTGGCAGTGCCACCACAGGAAGTCTGAAAACCCAGCAAAGCACCTTCTGAACACCCCAAGCTTGTTTATTAAGGTACATGGATCCACTTTGAATGTAATGCTTAGCTAAGAACAGCAGCAGTACAGAAACTGACTCATAAATCATGCAGCAATGTTGGTCAGAAGTAGGGCAACAATTTGGGCGGGACCCATCTGAGCCATCTGATTTTATTCTGCTTCTCCCTGTGAATGAACCTTTGGACTTCATCAGTGTTTACAAGTTAGTAAAAGGCAACCCTTCCTAAAGCAATTGTTTCAGGACAGCAGAGATTCTTCAGATGCTTTGTAGATTCTGATTTTACTTAGAGCTATACAGACTCTCAGTTTTCACTGGTTAGATTTTTTTTCCCACTTTATTTTAAATTTTCACAGTCACAAATTAAACAGAAATGAGGGTTTGCTGCACATCTTTTCTGAACCCCATGAAAAACTCTGTTAAGTCACTGCCTTTGCTCTCTCCAGACACTTGGGTGCAATTTTATAGCAAACTCAGATGTATTATATAGTAAATAATGTAGGCCCTTATTTACAAGTTTTTATTATACAGAGTGAACAATCAAAATAGCTGTTGACTTTAAATGATAAACTTTTATTCTGAATATACTGTTTTTGCACAATAATTAACACAACAGTTCTAGGATTATAAACTTTTTATAACATTATTGTACAAATTTTTACAAAAAATTATTTTTCCAGGCTTGTCAAGTTCCACAAAAGTGTCAAGAGAACACAAGAAAAGGGAGAAAGACCTGCCTGCCTCGTAAGAGCAACCAAGTCTTTTTTTGCAGAAACGCACACTGAGCATTTCAATAAAAATATCCCAGAAAGCATGATCCAGACATTCCATACAAGACAAGAAGAGAAGACAGCTTTGTCAGATCACAATCGCAATTTCATGGCATCTGAACAAGACAGTATCCCTTTAGCCTCAGTGAAATATATCTTCAAGATGATGTTTTTCTTTTAAATCATAAACAGGACAGATGCAAGTAGCTGGGAAGAGGGTGAGGCTAACTTTTCAAAACTCTTGAATTGTTTTCAGACACTTTGTTCTAATCTTTTTACAATAGTGTACAATGAGTATTAACAATATTAACATTGTGGTATGAACAAAATAATAATAAATCTGGCCTTCTCTAAAGGCTTGGATGTCTGATGAAGATAGGGTAAAATTTATCCTAAGGAAGGAGTTATTAAGATTTCACCTTCAGTTGACATTCCAAAAACACCAGACTGCACTGCAGTGCCTTGTAGCCATTGATATATTTCTTAATAACCAGCATTCTGAATTTTAAGGATCAATGGGACTGAGGTGGTGTTTTGGAATTCTTACTAAGCATGTTTGCTGAGTTTATGTGTTAATGGAAAAAAAAAGGTCTTAATGTCTCTTCAGTGACACCAAAACACTCTCAACCGCAGCAAGTAACACTTGGGTTGCAAAGGTCACTTAAAAGGGATACTGCCTATTTGAAACCAGTAAGGCCAGTTTTTAAGTTAGTAAAAGGAATATTGTAGGAAAACTTACAAATGGCAGCAACACTGTTGTTTTTGTCAAGTTAAGCAGTAAAGCCTCAAGCATTAAAAACATGAAAAAGATCATACTAAAGTCTTAAAGGTACAGGACCTAAAAATCTTGTCAATCAAACCTGCTATGTTATGTTAAAAACCTGTTACAAATATGGACCACGGTCAGTGTTTTGGCAGTAATGCTGGTTGTTTAAATGAAAAACTAGAAAGAAACCTTTCATGTTAAGTCCTCAAATCAAGTCCTCAAGTTCTGCACATTACCATGCTGTAACAACTGTAATGGTGGTCGTTTGTCAGACATACAATACACTGCATGACTTCTGTGTAAACTGAACTAAGTTCAGCATTAAGTTCCCTTAATGCTATTTAAAGGATTTGAGCAAACATCAACAGAGCTTTTTACCTGGCTTACAATTTTTTACAATATATTGTAATTTGAAAAGATCTCAATTTAAAGCTTAAAATCAAGTTTCTCCTTTCAAAGACAAGAGAAGACAACTATGACGCATTATGCGAGAGTAAGGACACCCTTCTGTGTGAGAATTTGTATTTACTTATGTGAGTTATTTCTATTGACTGGTGTTCACATTTTGAGATAGCCAATTTTCACATTGCATTTTGCATTTTCTACCTGTGTTTTGTAATTTGCAGATATCAGAGAAGGGTATTTTGAAAAAATCTTGTCCATCACTTGAATATTTTCTAATATATAATTTTAAAGTACCTGAAATAATATTTTTTAAAGTACTGAGTTCTTTGGGAACAGAGAGCCAGATCCTGATTTTTTAATCAGATGAGTATAGTGATGGAAGACTAAGTGTTTATAAGAAACATGATTCTCCAGGTCACATAGAGAGGCAGAGGAGAGGAACAAAGGACATTTCTTCTTTGGATCACCCAAAAGGGCTATGTGTCTGCATGGCAAGGGCTTCTCCCTCCTTTTGCATTTGAGCACTTTAAGGGAAGTGGGATGAGAGCAAGAGCCACAGACATCTTCTGTGGCAGCAAGGCTTTGTGCCTTCTCTCTTTCTGCCTACAGATTCCAATAAAGTGTTTAGTAAGTAACTTCAAATATGCCTTGCCAGTACTACCCTTGCCAATGCTAAATAGTGTAACTTGTCCATGAAAGGTTTCTTTTGAGAAACTGTAGACAACTTAACACACTGACAATCTTTCAAGAAATTATAAGAGCAAAATGCAAACAAATGTGTATTTTAAGTAATCGTAGAGTAAAAGCTATGAATGCAGTAAGTATTGGCCTATTCCTACAAAACTTGTTTCTCCCATAAAATGTGAATTGACCATGTCAAGGAAAAATACAGGATGCAGTCTTGGCATTAGAAACATTAAACACAACAGGTGACAGGTTGAAGTACAGCAATATGACTGAAAAGAAGAGCTCCAAGTTTACCTTCACCCATATTATCAACGTTAGCTCACCTTCCCTGAGGAGGACTTGAAGTCATCCATGACATTATTAGAGATATTTTTTTTAAAAAGCTATATTTGATCACTGAACAAAAGGTCAGGATTTATTTTTTCTCACTCACTGTATTCCCAAACATGAGAAAATACATAGCTGGAGCCAAGATACATGAGAAACCATGAACCAGCCATGAGTACAAGTACAGCATATGTCTGATCGTTCAAGCCATGCCACGGCTTTCAGGAGCTTCTTCAGTTTTCATAGGATATAAATGCGTGTCCAATCATTTTTTTTTAAGCTTTTGGCATGATCAAAATTATATCAATCATTTGTCAGCATATACATACCAATGCTTTGCATTCTGTAATTTTTTAGAGAGCTAGTGTATTGTGCCATGTTAATATTTGCATATTGCAGTTGTTAGCAGAACTGTAAAATACCAGCAGAGTTGCACATTCATTGGTTTAGCTGTCTTGCAATACTGTTTAATTTTGAAAACTTAGAAAAAAAAGCGCAAATCATACTTTGCATCAACACTATGCTACACTGTAATATTGTAATTTACTGCACCAACCTGTATCACCAATGAGGTTGTATAAAAACAACTTCTAAAGTTATTATTCACAATCAAGTATCAATGTGCATACATATAGATTCAAGGCTCCCCTTTTGTTTATATTTTTTCTAATCACAGCAACCAGGACATTTTGCTGTTAAATATGCTATTTTCAATAATAAATAGCAACAGCAGAAGTTTTAATATTAGGGGTGGTTTTATATGAAGGAAACAAAGGGGGAACCTGATATGAACTTTAGAGAACATATACTTCCAAAAATAAATGCATTAAATCTCATTTTTATATACTTAAAATATCTGTACACAGATTTTCATGTGAGATCACTATTCTGTAAAAAATCCAACTCAACCCTTTTGTTATAATAGCTATATTTACCCTATTTTCTCAGCTTTTTCATTGCACAGTATATTCAGAGCTCTGTTTCATAATATAATTTTATATGATTTGATTGCAACACATTGCAATGTTCAGTTTCTCACACAATAAAAGAATCACTCAGTTACCTTTTCAATGAACTATACTCTACCATCAAAGAAAACAAACTGAAAAACAATAACATAGCATCATCATCATGCAAAATACCCTTGGAAACCAACGTTCAAATATCACAAAGACATTTTTTATTCACAAGCATTTTTGTTTCAGCCTTTGAAGGATTCTACTAGCTTTATATGTAACTGCATTGTGAAAAGGAGGTGAATATTACATTGAAATTAATATTTTTTCTGACAGAAGATGACACCAAATTTAAGATGAAAATAACTTTTTAGTTAAACTCTCCAGCACCTTTGTATTTCAAAACACAGTAGTTTTCTCCTTCTCTTCCTTTCTTCGTCCCTCCCTTCTTTCCTTCCTACATACAATTTATCAACCTACCAAAACTTAGCTGGCTGCATGATTCATTTTGGAAGAATAAACCACTCATCATGAAACATTTCAATCATGCTGAACTTCTAATGAAAACTGGCCAATATTTTCATTTTACTCAACTAGTTTGGGCAAAACTGATGTTCAAAGCAGCCAGTAAAAAAGCAGGTGCAAGTAATGTATATTGGGGAGAACATTTTCTTTTTTTTTTCCTTTCTTTCTCTTTTTTTTTTCTTTTAAATAACTGTTCATGTAAAAGAATATAAATCTTCAAGATATCCAAAGCTTAAAAGAAATTAAAATCATATACATAAGCTATTGTTAGGGGAGCCCTTTTACATGAAGTCATCAAGATTACAACAACAAACAAACGAACAAAAAAAAAAAAAATTAGATTTCCCCAATGGAGCACATACAGAATTCTTTTCGGATGGTATAGATGATGCAGCATTCACACACGTTTAAGGATCCGACGCTCCAACATGCAGCCACTGTGGGCGCCTTTATGAGTCTCACAACGACTGATCACCAGACACGAGCACTGCTGTTCTGCCGCTGTCTGAATAGCTGACCCCTTCTAAAATGAAACTGAGGCTATCGTTTTGGCCGGGTCTTGGTTAAGTTATGCAGGTTTTGGTTTAGCAAGGTCATAACTGGCAGTGTCTGCTGCCAGATAACAGCCAAAGCAGGACCAACTGAATTCCTACCATAGACCACAGTGATGGACTCAGACCAGAGGCACCACCGCAGTCAGCCGAATCTTCCTGTTGACAAGAAAAGAAGAAATCATTTAACATTAATTACAATGAATTTTCCTGAGAAGTAATCTACAGTTTAGTATGCAACATTTTGAACTACCATTGAGGCATCATTTTTGGTCTTTATATATGTATTTTGCTGACACGACAGTAAAATAATTCCTGAAAGTTTTTCTGATTTTTGATACAAAGAGTGACATTACTATTTAAACTATTAGTACGAGAGAATTAAATACCTTCAAGGTTTACTACAGTCACTTATGAACTTACACCATCAATTGAGAAAAGCTATGGGATATACCTGGGGGCCCCAGAAAACCCCATTTATATTCCTTAAAATTACATCAATTGTAGGACACTGAGTATTACTTTATTGTGAAGAAAGACAGAATAACAGATAACTTTTCGAGATTAGAAAACAAATACCAAAATATGATTATGTCCATTTCACCAAATGATTGCACATTAAAATGAATATGGTCTGCAGGTGAAGGTATGATCAAAGAGAATGAAAATCCTTTCTCTGTCTCTGATGCTCTATTCAAGTAGGAGAACCAAATTTCCTAGCGTGCTCTTCTTACATATTCGATGCAGTTCAGTAGAGAAGACATGCTCCCCTTTGAGGGCACACTCTGAGCTGCACTGCTCTGTCATGCATCAGTGGACCCTACTATTCCTTATGCCACACAGCAATCACACCTCTTTTCCTCATTCCCTTCTACCATTCATTGATGTTCTTTGGTCCCACTTTGCCTGTAACGCATAATATTTTTCACATTATGGACTTTTTCATCAGCCTGGTTGAAATATATTTGATACCTGTTCTGGAGCCTGTACCATCTTACACCTTGTTTCTCAGGACTGATACAAACTGAGGTTAGCACCTAAAACATCGGGACAATGTTCCAGCCATCCCCCCATTTCTTTGTCTGCAGAGTCCAAGATTCACGGGTAGCTCTGAAGGCTGAAAATACTTGGTCTTTCTCTTGTTTTCACTGTATTCCGTACCCATAGTATACAAAGACAATTTCCATTTTCCAAGAGATCCCAAGCCTCCAAGGACAAGAAAACAGTGTAGGTGGAAAGCAACTTAGGTATATTAGCAATTAGGGAAACTTCTTTAACAGGAGCAACACGTTCAGGTAAGGACAGATGCCTGCAGCACCTAAACAGTAACAGAGCCTGGCTGCTGGCACAGAAACAGAGAAATATTTTAGAAGAGGAATCAGAGGAAAACCAACCAGCAGGAAACAGCTCCTGGTTCAGACTGACATGTAATGAATATTCAGTGTACCTCAGAAAAGGCTGGGTGGGTCAGCATGGGGATATACAAGCAGGATAAATAAGGAAGGGTCATTAAACCATCTTTAATTTACTGGTATATCCTTAAGCAAAACCTTCCAGTGTTAGAACATAAAATCAAAATGGAAGAATGAAAATCAGTCACCAATGAACCATCCCAAAATAATACATATCAGAAAGACAGTGGAAGGGCAACAATCAGTAGCACAGAACATTGTCAGGCTGCCAGCTTTATAAGAATGGCAGTATAGGACATACAGCAGAAGGGTACCGTGTAAAGGATAATACAAAGTACAACAGCATAAAAATGTTATAGGAAAAGGGAAGTGTGATGGAATCTCTGTGGGTAAGAAATTTCAGAGTCTGATAATAAAAAGGGTAACACTAGGATTGCACTGCTGACCTCCTGATCAGAGGGACAATATCAATGTTATGTGAGACTGGAGAAGCCACATAAAGACTGGATCGAAACCTTATAAAAAAAAATTTAGAGATTGCATTTTCAGATATGAAAAATGGTTTTTGGAACAAGCAGTCTTTGAATCTTTAGGAGTGCAGAGGGCCCTGTTCAAAATTATTAGTGGAGTTGCTCTGTAGAGCTTGAGTAGCTACATAGACCATTTAGCATTTTTGTGTGAAAGATCAGGCCAAACAAATGCAAAATAAGAGACACCAACTTAAAGAAAGGTAATTACCTGAAAATTACCAAAAAGAGTTAAAAAAACCCAAACAAACAACCTCAAGCCCCCCAAAAATCCAGAAAAACCTTAGCAAACAAACAAAAACAGAAAGCTCGGAAAGAAGCCGATCAGACCTAGAAGCACCATATCAAAAAGCAAGTTCCTTACAAGGATCCAGAAGAATATTTTGAAATATTGCATTAGATAACCAGGAAAACTTAATGCCCCAATTAGAAAAAACAACCATAAACCACCCAAACCTAAAAGAGCAATCCCTAAACAGATGAAAACACACCATCACCACCCTCCACCAAAAAAACACACAACCCATAACAAAGCCCAAAACCCCAAAGAAACACCCCTGCATGAATCAGTAGGGAACTTAAGTACACTATCATAAAGAACAGGTCAAAATTAAGAAATCAAGTTTGCTCAACAGGAACAGCTAAGTACATAAAAATGGCAGATTAAATATAAACAAGAAAATTAGAAGGGCTGATAAATATTTTTTTATGACTTCACTGCAAAATACGCTGAAAATGATAGAAAAAATTTTTTACTAAAACGAAAACGCAAAGCAAATATGAGGTTAGGGCAACTGCTTCATAACAGAGATGTAAAGAGGGAATTGGGATTATAGGGCACAACAAAGAACTTCAGTTAGTTCTCTCTGTCAGTTTTAGTTGGTGAAAACTTTATTGGTATTCCCTCTACATGCAATGTATTCTTCAAAGCAAGGAGGTGAGAGTAATCAGAATCAGTTGGGGAAAAATAAATGGAAAATCACATAAAGCAGACGAATTTGACTCAGTTCTTAACAGGATTTATAATATTCACCTAGAGTCTCCTTTAGGAACTTGGATGTAAAATAAAACCCAAAAAAACAAACAAGACTCAAAAATTAGCATTCAAGTTCCTTCGAAAGAAACAAAAATTCATTCTGACCTAAAGCAAATTGCTCAAGTTATCTACCATCCTTTACCAACAGTAGCCATTTCCAGATATGTGATAGCTTTCTAATTTAGTTCTATAGCTTTGGTTTACATTTTTTGTTTTATTTTGGGGTTTTGTTTGTTTGTTTGGGTGTTTTTTTGTTTATTTTTTTGTTTGTTTTGTTGTTGCTGTTGTTGTTGATAGTACTCTAGAAGTTCAAAATTCCTGAGGTTTCTTGTCAACAAGGAAGTCTTAAGTGAACTCTGCTGCGCAGATTTGGAGTAGGATGCTAAGATTTCAAGATGCATTGAACTTTCAGGTTTATTTAGTTTGGCTCTGTTACTATTTGCATCTGCACTGCGTCTTGTAATGCAGTTTTATTTCTACTCAAAACATCTAAAAATAACTCTGTTGCTTCTTCCTCACAGTGACTACCATTAAAAAACCAGAACTATCGGTAAAGGTTTCCTCTCACATGAATTCAATGAACAGAACTCAGTGTTATTTTTTGGTATTTAAGATTTCTTATCACTGACATTACTTAGACAAGTCTTCTTTGAAGCAGTAGTCAAAAGTAAAGCAGGAGATTTAAAAATTTTCAACAGAGGGGATATGTCTGGAAAGTAAATAAGAAGTAAATTGAAGACCTTAAATAAAACTGTGCATAACATAAAGGAGAAAATATCTTTACAGTGAAAACAGCATCAAGTATGGATACAGAGTAGATAGGCCTCCACATACAGAATAATACAGTACTCATATTACATCACCTCTGCATTACACCAAATATTGGGTTAATTACATTGGTAAATTAATCCTACCACTACATGTATTTGAAAAAAAACCAAAACCAAAACAAAACAACACCTCCATTCTGTTTCCATTTCTATTTGCTCTTTGAGATTTTGTTTTAACTACATCACAGTTTATGGTCACTGTTCTTACATTCAACTTTCATACAATGCTCATATTGGATTGAAAAGAAATATTTTAATATTTTTTGCTCTCTCTCTAGGACTACACAGAGCAGTTTTTAAGAGATTCACTCTTAACAATAGTAGAGAATGTCTTGAAAGCCTCATGCAGGAGATGCTTCTTCTTATTATGAATTACAGTATTAAACTGTAATACACAAAAGTATACAAGGTTTATAGATATATTTCAAGGTCACAGAGATTTTAACCTCATATTGATCAAATCCACATTGAATTTCTGAGGTTTGTAGACCAATTTGCAGTGGTAAACCAGCAGTTTGCCAAGAACAATTTCCAAATATTGCCTCTGGAATCAGTTATTCTTTTGTGTCCTAAGCCAAGACAGAAATAGTAGTGGCAAAGAAGGTACAGTAAATCCTACCTAAATTAATTTTTTTCTCCCTAACATCAACATTGTAATTTTATTGTTTGCTTTTACTGTCGTGAACACTAAAAACAAAACAAAACAAAACAAAAAACACAGTATAAGAGGAGAGAATCTGATTATATGTCAAATCAACAGTTTCATGGAAATGACTGAGATTTCATTATTAATTTAAAACTAGATTGAGAAAAACATCAGTTCTGAGTGGTCTTCAAAATGCTTTATTTGAAAACCCTTCCCCTCTTCTTGAGCTTTAAAAAAACTTCTCAACTCTTTCATGTTAATAATGTCATTTTTTGAGATTTCTTCTAAAGTATCTCATAACAAAGGCATATAGCATTATTTTATCCTATCTTTACGTTATCTTATCTTTATCTGTGCTAGTGCAATTAGACACTGATCTATTTTTAATCAGTTTCACTGAAATTTTCTAGCCCATTACATTAATCATGCAAAAATCCTGAATAAAAAGTCAGTTGGATATGTCCTTACTGTGTTGTCTTCAAAATAATATTCTGTATATTATTTCTCTTTGAAGAGAGAAAGAATTGTAAAAGAAATTTGAAAGAATCGTCTTTAGCCACTTACATTTCATCAGAAGTGTATATGAAATTTCTTGCATTAATAAATCACATGTCAAATTTCCTGGCACGCCTGAGGTAGATAAGTGTCAAATCTAAATGTCATCTCCTTCATGTCATACTTTACTGTGGTAACTCTAGATAGGATTATTTTACATCACACACTGTGAAAATTATTCAGCACTTTCAGAAAGGAAATGAATGCTTTTATAAAGCCATATATTCATTGTTAAGTAATAAACCCACATATTCGCTGTTATGTACGAACATTTCCTTGAAGACATACCCAGTTCAAAATTTTAAAAATACATATGGAACTAAAAATACATATACATACATACGTACTTGTTGCTCCTTTAGAAGTGGACTAGAACTATTTAATGTACTAAAACTTTGTCTGTAAACCATAATAATTCACAGAACCCTTTGTGTTACAACGACTTGTAAAAGGGTAAAACAATATCTGTCAAAGAACTGATTTGGCCTTCGATGTCAGTTGATTACCTGAAAGTTATAGGCATGTATTTAAAATGCTTCATATTGCATGGATAACACCTTTGCTTTTACTCAAGAGTCATTTCCAGTTCCAATGCATGGTCCTTCATAAATTTTTGTGTTACCCTCCCTTCTCTGGACTTCCCTACAAAGCTGTCAAAGCTGTACAGCTACCCATGCACAGATCAGGGACACAGGGTATTCCATTAAAATGTATCCAGTTGTCTGGTCTGCTAATAACCCTCAATGTTCCTGGAAGCTGATGGGAGTAAGACATTCACAGTAGAGGCTAAAAACTTGTAAAGCCTTTTCTTTATTTTCAGGCATGGCAAACAAAACCACTGTGCATGTACAAAGACTAAGCCTTTCAAGGCAGTGATAATGACTATTTTGTTATCCTTGATGAAAAGGGAAAAAAACACACCATCAGGTTATTGAACCTGATCAGCAGTTTGTATCTGTGTTGGCTTCAGTGATTTTAATAAAACTACACAGATTAATGGCCAAAAGAGAACCCATTTCCAAAATCACAGAGTTATTAAAAACAAGACGGATGAACAAAATTACCCCTATAACTTTCTGCTGCCAAAAGTCTATCAGCTAAAATTATATTCCGTGAGTTTCCTATCTTAAGCAGAAAGCCCATTTTGGGCATAAAGAATTCAGCTCAAGGTGAGCCTTTGCTGCTTTATGTACATTGGACAGTAGCTTTTTAATTAAAAGAGGGTTACTTGCAGAGCAAATTGCAAGAGTAAGAACATGAGATATTAATCTAAACTTTAAAGTGAAATACCACTGGCTTAGGGAAAGGGACTTTCTCTCTTACAACCTTACACCATGGCTGTGCAAGTTCCTAGGTTTGTCAGAGATTAGATCATTTAAATACAGAATAGGAAACTTCAAAATTACTCAAATACAGTTGTTAAGCAGAACTTTTAAGTTATTTATCACTGTTGTTCAAGCAATAATAATTGAATCTACCCTAAAGTTTAAAGAGAATATAAGTTATTGAGGAAATGGGTTTTCTAAATTGCTACAATTTTCAGTATTCTACTACACTCACTCTGAAAAATGCCCTCTCAGCTTCCAGTTCTACCTCTCAGTTGGCTTTACTTTGATAGACATGTGAGTATCTCCCTCTAGTGGTTTTCACAGCAATAATGTTGATCAGAGACCCCTCCAGTCACAAATTTTATACTCTTTATCTCAGCAGTTCTCTTGCAGACATGTCACTATCCCAGCAGCTAATGACACAGTCCCATACCATTAAATTCAACACAGTCTAATTGCCAAGACTTTCCTTGTGAACTCCAGAGTCTGCACTAGGTCAACCTACAGGCCTTACCTATGTAGTCAATAAAATTGATGCCCAATATTATCTTCCATCATTAACTGCTGTGTTCATTTGAATCCTTAGTCTTCTCAATAGCAGCACTTACACAGAGCACTCGTCCTTGCTATCCCTAAGTAAAGCTTTATTTTCACAGGTATTACAGTTCTTCTACTTACTTTGTATCTTTTTGCAGAAACCTCTCTTCTGTTCATTTTAACAAGGACAAGGCAAAAACGCTTAGAAAAGAATGACATGGACTCAGCTGATACATGTGCAATCTCAAAGGGCCAACCATATAAACCCAACAGGTCCCCTTGCCTTTGTATGTGCTATGGGAGAGGCCCTTGTGTTCAGTAATTATGATTTATAAGGCTCCAGACAGGCTTTTTCATATTTAATTTCCCTTAATATTGCAATAGTAATTTGCTCCAGATTGTTGCTTTTGGGACTTGCTTCATTCTGTTTTCTTTTGTATGCTCAGTAAGTAAAAAAGTCTGCTAATTTTTTAAGCCAAGAACAAAACAAAAAATTAGAGAAAGTAACTGACCATCCACACCACATGAAAACTTGCAGAAAAATGAAGATAGGAGCGGACGTCATGGCAGAGGCACGACTCGTTGTGCATATAGGCTGATCCTATTAATAACGGGCAAAGTAGCGAGTAGAGGAAAGGAAAGAAAACACAGAAAAAAAGACATACAAGATGAGATACCATGCAGATTGCTGGCAGTTAGCAGAGTTAATGTGAAAGCATCCACCCAAGAGCAAGAGATTCACAGCAAATTTTGCAAATAAACTTAACCAAAACAATCCACTGTTACAAAACACGACTTACACACTGATCAGCACATCAAGCTAGTGAGCAAGAGTTGTACTTTCACACACAATCAATATTAGGAGGGTTTGGGATATTTACAATGGTCAAATAGCTTTTGGATGTTTCCTCAACTTCATTTAACATTTGTTGGCCAGTAAGAATACTTCCTTTTTAAAATAAAATTTAGTTACTAGCAAAAAATGCATTGAATACCAACTGGACATTTTTTTTTTTTAATACTACTGACATCTCAGTAATTGTGCCTCCTTACAGGAAAAGCAGAGCACACTGAAACATAACTTGGTATACAGCATTTATAGCCAACTAACTGCATTGCTTTGGGACAATCTTTCCTTTGAAGAAATTGCATGAAGTATTAAAAATGAATTTTAAAAATATTTATTGTATCTAACGTCTGGCATTTTCATGTGCAGCACTTTTTATCTTGAAATTTATTCTGAAAAATTTAAAGTCATCATAATCTCTTTCATATGGTATTTTGAAAGGTAAGGCAAAAAGCATATTAAAAATAATTTAGATATGTGGCACAGTTATAATTTTTTGCCTTCAAAACATCAATACAATACAGGAAGTACTAAAAAGCACTATTTTGGTAATTTCAGTAAAGCACTTTTATGCCTGTTAAGAACATGACCTAAGGGCAATACAATTTGTAGAAATAGAAACAACATCCTAAACCTCATATAACGTTCTTAATGATTTAACAACACTTAAAATAATATTTGGAAACATTATTATAAAAATACAGTTTTTAAGCCAGGATTATCATGTACTTGTGAAAGCCATTGAAGAACTAGATTTCACAGCACCATACAGAGACCAACAGTGTTATCCTCACTGCTGTTTCGGGCTTTTTTTAGTGAGAATCATGTGTGAAAGCACAATGATTATAGGAAAGGCAGATAAGAAAGCAGCTGTTAATTTTATGTTAATCATGGGATATTTGAAATAGAGTGACTATGGTCTAGAGTGAACAGTATGTTTAGTGATAGATAGGTTACCGGGTACCAAGGTATGCTTAAACACAGTTTTCACTACTCTTCTAAAATAGCTCTACAATTGTCTTTAAAGATACTCCTAAATTCTAACAAGTTCAATTTTACCTGTTTGGCTTCATCAAAACAGACATCGGGACCCTTTCTGTATCTAGGTTGTTTGACCATTTCACAAGGATTTGGCCCTTCATCTGTTTCTCTGGTTAAGGAGAATGACTGTTTTTCGTGCATCGTACATCAGCAGGATTGACATTCTGTTTTTATTTTCATGGCAGAAGGGAAGATTTATGCTAATTCTGATACTACTGAAAAAAAAACATCAATAGTCACAGTTCTTTGTTTAAAGAAAACCAACCCAACCCTCCAGATAAATCAAAATGAAATACTCTTTTTCTTACACTGTTTTATTCAAGAAAATAAACATCCTGCCTAACTTTTTAGAATGCTTATTTTCAGAACCATCCACAGAAAAAAATAAAAGCTGCATTATTTTAAGATTTTCTGTATTGCTTTTATTATCATTGCATAAATATTGAAGAAAATATTTCATAAAGTAATAGACTTTCAATGGTACTGATTGGTTAGAGGTTATGTTACCACTGAGTTATTCTCCTAAAATGAAGATACACAGTAAAAGCAAGGAAACCTGTTTGGCAAAGTAGTGCTGTATACAGGCTGAACATGGCAGTGAAAGTCTATAAAAAGGACTGGTTCTATTATGTGTACACTTATATTACCCCAAATATAGAAAGGATCATCCCACTGTAGGCTTTGATGGTAAATGACAGAAAAACTAAGGAGATCTCATTACCATGTCAGTGATGAAGCAGATAGGGGAAATGCTGTCCCTACTAACAGCAGAATATCAGGAGAGAGGTGGGAGCAGTGACACGCTATTAATTAGCTAACTGTAAATGTGAGATACTGCTTTAGCTTACATCTCTGAAATCTCTAATTGCTGATGTTTAAGTGCAAATACTAATTTTTTAATTATACCATAGATATATACACCTAGAAAGTAAAGTAATGCACTAAAACTTTACTTATCTTGGTAGCTCTAACTTACACTTGAAGCAATCTTAGTTATGCAATACCATAGTGTAATACAGCAGCTTCAGTGCAACAAGCAGAGAGGCCAAAGGCAAGAGAAGGGAAGAGGATGGGGAATTTAGCTCTACAGATCTACATCGGCCTTCATTCAGATGTTATCGGACTCACCTCCCATTTTCTCTGCCATGGCCCAACTGAAAGGGAAGTTGAAATGTGGAAATATCCTAAGAGACAATATCCACAAGCAAAACTGTACCAGCCAAAAGGAAGCAAAGTGTAATAATAATCATCTGAATAGCACCCAAAGGTCATTCTGTCTGCTTGGGTGATGTTATGCTACATCTGCATTTCACAATGTACCTTAGTTACAGAAAAGAGAGAATAGCTTAGTACTGCATAGTTGGAAAAAAATACCATAGTTCATTTAGTCAATATAAGCCCACCCAGCTCCTCTGGCTGCCATTTGAGGTCATTTACTGCTTTCTGGAAGTTTTACCCCACAGGAAAATGCAAGTCATGTGCCCATTTCCCATCAAACCTGCTTCATTTTCTATGGTGAGCACTGCCCATAAATTCAGACAGTGGCAACAATTAATCAAACTGTCGTGGACTGAAGCCAATTAGAATATTAGGCTGTGTTTACATAGTTCTGTGATGACATCCCAATGTAACTTCCTTTTCAGTCTGAGCGTAGATGGAATTCCAGTTTTATTAACGTGGCAGTGAATGCATTGCTTGTGCCAAAGAAACAAAGTCATCTGTACTACCATCTGCTTTTCTTTCAGAAATGGGAGTGGCTGTCTAAAGTAACTTCCTGACATGGACAAAGGTATTACTAATTGTTTTCCATATTCTGTCATAATAATCCCAGTTATGATTTGATTTACTACCATGGTAAATCTGGCATGCTATCCTTGAGCCAGTGTTGCAGAGAAAGACTGAAGTGAATTTCTTCTGACCTAGAATATGAGTATATTAGTTTTATGTATTTCCACCACCATAGTATCTACTGCAGTGAACAGGATAAAGCAAAGAGATTGGCATGGAGGTGGTTGTAAATTAGAACAACCTTTCACATGCTTTTAACTTTAATGCATGTGTTTTAAGGATTCTGCTTAGCATGTAAGCCACCTATGTCTCCAGCCAGCTCTGAAGAAATGCTATGCTAGCAGCTGGATAAACTCTAGTCTTTGACAGCTAAAGCAGCTTCCACAAGTAAGTAGTTTCAGAGATTTCACAGAATACTCTGCATTGGAGGGAACCCACAAGGACCATCAAGTTCAACTCTTAAGTGAATGGTAGCTACAGGGATCGAACCTGCAACCTTGGGGTTATTGGCACCATGCTGCAACCAGCTGAGCTAATCTCCATTGTCACTGGCTCTGAGCACACACTGTGCTTCCATCAATTAACCATCTCAACTTTCCATGACCAAACACTCTTATCTTGGCGTTGCCCGTTTTTGTTATTTCTCCAGATCAACATACCCTTCTCTTTTCTAAAGGCTGAAGAAACCCAGGGCTCTCAGACTCTCCTTGTCTGGTGCTCTAGACACCAACCTCTTTGGTGGTCCTTCACTAGACTTCCTCCAGTATTTCAGTGTGGTACTGGGAAGCTCTGAGCTCTACACAGCACTCTGGATGTTGTCTCAGCAGTGCTGAAGAGACGGGATGGACCAGTTTTCACAGTCTGCTGACTACACTCTTGCTATCACAGCCCAGGATGCAACCAGCCCTCTTTACTGCAAGGCACAGAGCCAACTCATGTTCATCTTCTTGTCCATCATGAACCTCAAGCTCTTTTCTGCATAGGACTTTCCAATCACTCTGTCTCCAGCCTGTCCAGCTGTGTGTAATTATTCTGCCTTGGGTCCAAGACTTTGTATCTGAATTTTTGAAACTTCATTAAGCTCCTGGGAGCCTACTTCTGTCTAAGTTCTCACAAATAAGGGTTTTGCTCTCCACCTCAGTGTCTGCTGCTTGAGATGATTTGTGATGTTATCCGCAAATACCCGCTGTTTCAACTATTCCAGTGGCAACCATGTTACTAATATGTACATAAATGGGTCATTTTCCCCCAAATATATTCCAGTATTCCATAGCCAAAAATCAATCCACACTACTAAATAACGTGATTTTAAAGGATACCCGGCTTCTCTGCTTGCATCAGTGGCTTGGGGTCACAGGAGCGGCACAGCAGTTGGCTGTCACTAATAATGAATACTAGATTGGTGTTTGAAATCTTCTCTGCATGATAAAGTCTGGAAAAAAAGCCAGCAAAAACCTATGTTTAAATGAAGCAAGAAAATTCATATTTGAGAAGGAGACACAGTATTGGAATAAAAAAATAATCCAGCTTCACAGAGTCAGTCTGCCTGCTACTGTTTATCTTTTTCATTAACAAATAGCAAGAAACATTTATAACAAATTTTGTAATCTTTTTGACATTTCCATGGTATTCCCTTTCAACTAGACTTGTTAGTGGAAAAAATGGAAAAGAGCAAAAAATTATTTTAATTGAGTTAATAGCTAGCTCTGTACTGCTACCACAGTAGTTGTACTGAGAAATAACATCAGTTCAGCATCAATTAACACTGAGAAAACCCCCAACCACAAAAACAAACAAGCAAAACCCCAGCACATAAACCTGTCTGTAAAAGGGTGAGGGAAAGGTTTAGGATATGTATTGGATGTGTATCTGTTGCATTATTATGTCCATATAATTCCACAAAAAGTCTTTAAGTTAGTAGAGTCATCTATAATTTGTAAATAAAACCAATAAATATTAGCAACATGGAGGGGATTTAGGGAAGTGAGAAAAAATGTCTGCGTGTTTTGCTGTATTCACCATTCTTCGATGTCTTCTGTCTTTCTTTCCTGGTTTGAAAAATTGTCCTCTAGGAGTTTGAAATCTGGTTGTTAATTCTAATTTCTAAGACATTTTCAGAAGCTCAAAATGCATGCAAAAAGCCAGCAGGCTCTTGTATGAAACACAGAGCAAGGTCCAAACTGCTGTTTTTGAAGTATCCCATTTTTTGACATAATATTCAACATCATCTTGAATAGGCATGTACAGCCTGAAGAGTAATTCTTTTAATCACAAAATGAAACAGCTTTGTTTGCTTTATAAGACTCACAGCTCTTAAATCATGAGCACTATTGAATAGAAGGTAAATTAGAAGATGAATTGCATAATCTTCTCGACCATCAAAAATTCTAATATGTAATCAGATTCAAAAAAATCATATCCCTCAGAATATTGCAGAATGCTTTTAAGCTGGCATAATAAATTGAAAAAACTCAAATTGTAACAGAGATAGAAATATAGTTTTCATGAAGCATATAGAGACTATAAACCAAAAAATTGACTAAAGTATTTCTACAATTCTTAAATTGTTAGAATTAAAATTCATTCTAATCAAATACAAAGAGAATGTAATTTACCTGCCTATACTCTTCTCTGCCTTGGTTATGTAAGTTTGGTGAAATTAATCCAAAATATATTTTTTGTTCTTATAATCGTGTCATTATCTTTTTTTAAATAAATGACAATCCCAAAGTTATTATTTATATTGAAGAAATTTTACCTGGAGCAGTTTATACAGTCTACAATCCCACTAAAGGATTTATCATCATTTTCAAAGAAATACTGAGTTTGCTCAGTGATGCAGCTTGTTTTAGGCAGAGCGGCACCGAAATCATCATCTTCCATATCAGCTGACAGAAAGAAAAAAAAGAAAATAAATAAACAATGACAATTTAAGTCACAAACATAATGGGGAGATCCAAACTTGGCTCCCAGCCTAGATTCTTACCTTCTACTTCACTCAAAGTTGACTCTTTAACATTCTCTTGACTTACCTGCTTCAAGGAACCGTGGAAATGTCAAGCTCAAAAACAGCTGCTGTAAGATAGACCTGAGCACAGAAAGACAACATGTATTTATTAAAGGCTCTTTTTCTTCTTTGTATTTAATGGATACTTAAAAACTAGTCAAATACAAATTATTAAAAAGAATTTTTCTTTTTTTTTTACACTTTTGCCTGTTATTAAAGCTGCATTTCTTTAAACCTTACAGTTTGACACTGGTTTTCTTTTCACACATTCTCACAGGTCTTTCATACTAATCTTTTATTCTACTGTTGAGATTTCCTATAACTTGTGCCCATAACTCACATAATGGAAATGTTATCATGCCACCCATGCACTCCTTTTATAGCTCTGTGGGAGGTGGAAGAGGCATGTTGGCGTTCCTCTAACACTTAAATCAACCAGAACTCCTTTTGAACACAGTCAGGGAAAATGCCCCTGACTTAGATACTTTACACTGATTAAGGTTCATGAAATTGCTAAGAAGGAGACCAACACTGGAATATTACAAGTATATTATAAAAACCATTACTGTAAGAGTTGAATTTTAAAATTTTCTCTATTCCTGCTGTTGAGTTATGGACTGTATTTTCTTCCTACATGCTGCCAAAACACTAAGGCTAAAGAGCTTCATTTATTTAAAATTGTTTTTCTTCATTGATGATCATATTTTTCCAATTTTTATTTACCTAAAGCAGGTACAAGCTTGTCACATACACAGCCCCTTTCTCCTCCTAACAGCCTGTCAAAATAAAAACTCCAACAGGTATATTCCTTGACTCCCTGCTTCAACCTTTCAAAGTTGTATTTTCCAGTTGCAAAGTTTTAGGTTTACTTTTACCCACAAATAGGACCTGATCTCTTATCTCATTCTGGTCTAACATTTGTTCTGCAGAGTAAAGGGAGTGTACATCTTCATTCAATCTCCCTTTTTTTTTTCTCCTTTTCTCCTTATCCAGCCCGATTCCTGTGTAAAGAAACTGAATATGCCTGTCACCTTTCCCACGAAGGCATTGCCTGAAGGAGCTCTGGATTCACATCCACAGCTTTGTGCTTTGAATCAGCAGAGGGTCAGCACACCAGCAGCCATGGATCAGAAGAGAACTGATGCCGTTCAATAGTGATGCAATTTGCTGACAGAAAATAGTAATCCTTTGTAATGGCTTACCACAGAATTTACAGGGAACCAAATGAAAAAGGCAGCCTGGGAAAACTTAAATCTTCTGACTTAAAGGAGCATGAGGGGAAAATGATACAGACTCTCTTAACTAAATGCTGATGTATCCCATATAAATTTTGAACATGATCGCTCACACCTTTATCCCACATTTTTTCCTGAAACATTATATCTTTCTTTAATAACCCCGTTTCTTTTATTTTCCTGCATTTGCTTTTGCCAGGTGCCTCACTGAATCCATTTTTTGGTCATCCTTTTCACTCTGCTTGCTTAATGGCCTTCTTTGCCTGCTTCTGACCTAGATTCCATTAAAAACATGCCCATAGTAAGTACTTTAATGTTGTTCTTTCAAGTTATACATCACACAAAAAAACCCTCAGGTCTAAATTGAGTCCAGACCACTAAGTCTGATTTGAACACTGATAAACTAAAGTTTCTCTGTTTGAAAAGAACTCAAGTTTCTCTACTGGATTATTGCCCATCTTCAGATTTTGAGGTTTGCTGTTGTCCAAGAAAACCGAGATTATTGTTCTTCCTGTTAACAAAATGTAACCGACAATAAAAATCAACATACAATCTTCATAGTGCTTCTGTGAGAAAATTATTACATGTTTTTTCAGCTGCTATATATTTTGACCCTTAGCCTAAAAAATGAGTAATTTATTCAGGCTCAGTAATTGGGAAAAAAAAAAAAAAAAAGACATTATGAAGCTTTTGAAAAAAGAATTGTCTCCAAGGGTGCAAACCACACCAATGCAAAAGTATCAGATCAATCCCAATTTCTTATCCCAATGCTGGGAGGTGCTGGGGGAAGTTGCTGATAGGGGTGTCAATGCACATGGCTCTGAAATAGGTAAAATACTGCACCTGAGTACCATGATCAGCTCTGGAGCTCTCAAGACAGAAAAAGAAGTGGATCTAGAGGAGGGCCACAAATATGAACAAAAGGGATGGAACACTTTTCCCACAAGGAAAGGCTGAGAGAGTTGGGGTTCAGTGTGGATAAAAGAAGGCTCCAGGGAGACCTTACTGTGGCCTTTCAGTACCTTAGGGGGTATTTAAAAAAGATAAAGACAAACTTTTTAGCAGGACAAGGGGTAATAGTTTTAAACTAAGAGAAAGTAGTTTGAGAGAAATACAAGGAAAATATTTTTTATGGTGAGGACAGTGAAACACTGGCGCAGAGTGAAACACAGGTTGCCCAGAGAGATGGTAGATGCCCCATCCCTGGAAACATTCAATGTCAGGTTGGAACAGGCTCTAAGCAACCTGATTTTATTGAGGATGGCCCTGCTCATTATAGGAGGATTTGGACTGGATGACCTTTAGAGATCCCTTCCAATCTACGCGATTCTATGATCCGTGTGTTTTATAAAATTATTTACTGATTTTCTTAGGACTTGCTAGAAAAAGGGAAAGATGATATTCTGAAATAGGCAACCAAGTGATAAGTGATTCTAAATCTAATAATTTTGACTGAACCTTCACAACTGCTAATGGTACTTAGGCCACTAACCCAAAGTCTGCATCCCGATGTTGATTTTGTAGAGCCAGAACATACAATCATAAAACCTGGCAAGAACGGTTTTGAATTCACCTGTCATTTTTGGAGACAGAGCTAAGAATTTAGGGGGAAATATTAACCCAAGCTAAATACAGTTTCAACCCACTGAATAATTATAGTTTGGACATAGAGAATTCCTACACATTTGTACTTACCAGGCAGCTGCTGAAGCCCACCATCCTAGTTGTAAAATATCTGTTATCGTAGGCTGGGAAAGAAATAAGTGATTATGTTATTTATATAAATACCTGGAGAGTTTTAATGGAATGTCAGTCACTGTACATGGGACTACTGACCACATAAGCAGAACGAAGTCCAGCTCCTTGCTTTGGTTCTTCTTCTGGATCACAGACTGACTGATAGTCATATGACTTGTTAAAGGCATACAGGGACACGTTAATCAGGTTTCGCATCAGGCCAGGATCAATTTCACCAAAGAATCTTCCAATCTGATGAGAGAGAATATTGAGACATAAGGTGAAGCATTTCCAAGTGTTTTTTTCATAACCAAGTGAACAGTTCTAAATTCCCCAGTTGTACAGTTAAATGCAGTATCAACAAGATACTGCCTGGGGAACAGTAAGAGGAATATGACAAAGAAGATGTGTGCATACCATACTACTTGCCCTCACCATCCTTAGTCTATTGGCAACCTACCAGCCTAAGGGCAAAGCACAAAAAATGCAACTTGGTAGAAGTCTGGCATCTTCAACCGCAAATAAGACTGTAATAAAGACTAATAAAAAACCCTGGAATTTCTGATCCAGGGATATTTTTGTGATTCAGAAATGTAATCTTTAGTGTAAATTGCGAGTGAATTGCTGCTTTTATTTTCTCTTAAAACATCTTCCTATTGGTTTTCATGTTCTGCCCTTAAAAAATATACATACCTGTTGTGTATATTCATCTCGATTTGACATCAAAAGAAATCCACCATCGTCAAGGATAACACAGTCCACATGCTATTGTAAGAAAGTGAAATAGGTTTTACAGGAAAGATTTGTCAATAGAACACTTTGTAAGAATCTATTTTTTCTTCAACACATTAGAAGTATCTTCAAATCTATGTGGCTCAGGCTAAATCACAAACCCATAGCCAAGGGCCAATTTTAAGCTATAATAATTAGCATTATCAGTATAATAAAAGTCTGAACAGATCAAAGGGTTATTTGTGGCTTAATTTCATAAAAGTTCTTTTGTAAAGTTTTATTTGCTCAATACTTTGTGAGCTTCAAGAGTGCTATATCCTTATTAAATCTGATTATAACTGAAACTCAACTCATTATAAGGGACTACAACTTCTCATGTGCTTCAGCCATGCCTAAAGTCCTTTTCCATTTGCATATTTCAATAGTAAAAATCGTAAGGACAGACTCTCAGCTTGCTAGTCATGATTCTTTTCAATTGACAAGGACTGTAGTGGGATTGTGGGATTCTTCCAGGTGTCAGGTGCAGGAATAGGAAGCCCACTTTTTTCCTGTGCTCTGCACTTTGTAAAAGATCCTTGCAGGCAGAGATTGGAGAGATAGCAGTGAGGTCAAATAGATAACCTCCCAGAGTACCCTGTTTAGATGTAATTCTCACATTTAATGGTCTTCGTACTCTGCAAAAGAACTCAGAAGACCTGAGCAGTGGAAAGCTTTTAAGTTCATGGCAAAACCTGATATGGTGACAGTCCCTGGAGTTGTGCTTTCCTGAGTACCAGCAGAGCAATGGGGTCCCCTAATCCTAAATGTGCTGAGAACCAGGGGGAAGAGGATGACTGATAACTGTTGAAAGGCACATCACAAACTCTGGTGCTTCTCAGTTTGCATTTATCCTCCTCTGAGGTACTTCTAATATTCTTTTTTTTTTCCCCACATTTTTTAAAATTACTGTCAGAATTTGTCTCTTGCTTTTCAAATTACTGTTATACTTTTCTCACATTCCTGTTCACATCATTCTCTATTGCTTTTCCTGTATTTTTTCTTTACATTAGTTGTTATAACCTTTTTTCAATTATTCTTGCAACAGGCACTTCACCTAACTTTTATGCTCTTTTGCCCTCCCAACCTTCATCTTTCTCAAGACACAAAAAACTGTAACATTAACCTTCAAATAACAATGATAGAATCTGTCTTAGATAAATCTAGAGAGAATGAGTGAATTTTTATAGTCTGTCTGATATCATAAACTGAACATATTCTTACCATGCTATTTTTCTCACAGCCACAGATTTCACTGTTGCACTAAAAAACAAAAGTACAGTTATCTTCACAAAAATGTTACAAAACCCTCTGTATTTTGCAGTTATATTAATCGATCAAGACAGGAACAAGTGACTCTATTTTCAGTATCTATATATTAATATAAATTTTGAGTGCATGTCATTTATTACAAATTTCTCTCTGAACAACCTGTATTCAGTAATTATCAATAGCACAATCTCTATTGCCTTTCCCAAAGTTGATACAGCTGCTTTTACAGATATGTTCAATATATTAGAGACAAATAGTTGGGATGACTTGTCAAAATGTCAGTGTTGTGAGCGTAAAGTAAAAGAGAAAGAACAGTTGCATTTTCATGTGTTTGGGGTATGGAAAGAAAGCCTTTAAAAATAGAAAGCTTCACCAGTCTCAAAGCATGGGAATTCTATGCGACACAGAAAGCCCATCAACCCAGTTATCTTTTATGGCTTTGATTCCTAACATGTTTTTCTTCTGTCCTTGCAAATTGTTTACACATACACACATAATTGTGTCCTTGCATTATGTCCTGGGAAAAAACAACTACCAGATAATGCTGGAGTCATCAACCTCATATTAAATCTGAGATGTTCGTCTTTCTTTCTGTATTTCACTTATGCAATTTGTACTTAACTGTCCTTAGCATTTAGGCGATGCATCTGCTTACCCACTGACCTACAGCTCAAATACCTATAACATCCAGACACCAATTCCTGAAATATACAACCCACTAGGCAACATTGCCTCATCCAATATGGAACTTCTGTTCCATAAGTTTCTTCATTTTATGCCTTTGCTTTACAAATTCAGTATCAGTTCCATATTTTTTCCTTTCATTTAACCTTTCCTCCTTCCCATTTACACCTAAGTATTAGATGTAGGGAATGATATGGTTAAGCACCTTTTTCATTAAGTTCTGCTATAATGTTGTGATGTTGGTTGCAATATAAATCCTTGCTGTTCACTGCTTGCCCATCCTCCATATTAAATAATTCATATTAAATAAAGATTCACCCATTCTTCTGCAGACTTTATTCACTGCTACTGCATAATCTTGTAGGGAGCCTACTGGCTAGAATTGTCATTTTTATTTGTCTTTATCCATGTTTTATAATTATGAAAGCAAGACACGTACAAAATACAGCCTATTTCAACATGGATTTATTTTGTGCACTTGGATGATTTAAATACCGCAACTACTTGGCAACTTCACATCAGTGTGACTGGCACAAAGAGCTAGTAGACCTATTTGCATCTGAAGCTTTGAGAAATGCAAATAAAGTTCAAAAAAGACTTGGTCAATTGCTTACCAGGCTCTTGATTGTGGTTTTTGTGAAATTTTCCATCCAGCTGGTTGCATCAATTTTTATTCCAACAACTAACAAGAAATACATGAAAGACTTTTTTAGTAAAATGAAAGGAAAAAAAAAAGGTAATGTAGAATCCTAAAATAAAGGGGAAAATTAGAAGAACATCTAAATCATTGAACTGCAGAAGGGTAAAATATGACTTTTGCTCAGTTGTCTGATCACCAGCATCCTTCATGAGACTAATAAATTAAGCACTCTTACTCAAATACAACCAGATCTTTGGTTTGATTTCCACTAGCAAGGTTAGAACATTTTCAGAGAAAATAATGTTATTACAAAGTAAAGTGCCTTTGAAATCTCAATTAAATTTCTAATTCACTGTTGAGCAACAAGCAAATAACTAAAGTATTTAGAGTTTCAGCACCACTCTGTCTTACCTGCTGGCTTCAGAAGCTTCCCATCAATTGTTATTTCCACAGCTTTGCTTACCATAATGCCTGATTCATAGCTATTGGCACCACTTTCTGACAGTATAGAAGGGAAAAAACAAACAAACAAACAAAAAACAAACCAGAAAAACAAACCAGAAAAAGAAGTTAGGATGATATAAAAGCCTTTTCCTCTGAAATTTAAATTATAATTCAAATACCCATAAAGATTTTAAAAAATCCTTATCCAAAAGCACTGACCCAGCTGTAGTACACATTTATCACCTGTGGCAGCTGAGATCACCAACACCTGCACGACCAAGAGGAACATCTTTTTTTTTTTTTTTTTACTTTTTTCATTCACTTTTTGACTGCTTCATAAAGTTACTGTAGCCTTTTTTTCTTCAGCAAACAGAGCCATGAATAGCTTTACACATGTGAGCAGCTCTGTTAAAACCAGGATCAGAGCCAAAGATTTTATCCTGCTGTTGTTCATGTATTTTTCAATGCAGGGTATACTGACACCACTCACTAACCAACAATTACTGCTCTGACAGACTTCAGCCTGTTTTCAACACTGCTTAGTATGAAAAGGCAAGTTAAAAGTACATTGCCTGGAGCTATTTGAGGAAAAACAAAGGCTTCAGGGAATTCAGTTAATGATCTTCTTTACATTTTATTGAGAAAAAATACAATAAATAATTATGAAATAACAGCAATAAAAGATCCCATACGTTTGGGAGAGGAATATGTTTTTTGTGGTAGCATCTGCTTATAAACAAGCTTGAGAAAATTACTGTTGCTCAAACCAGTCATGAGCATTTACTATTGTACATAAATAAATTTTAAATGTCACAATATTTCAGATCAAACTGGTTTTGGTGAGTAACAGAAACTAGAAATAGAATTCAAAACTGAAGTTTAAGTTAAGGTGGTGCATTGGCCAGAGTTGTGAACTCTGGACCTTTATACCTGCTGCCCCAAGTCAGGTTTGGTGCTGAGGCAGCATAAAGAACTCAACCCAAATATGACTTTTTAGGTAGTGTTATTGTCTCTGACTGCAATTTTATTTCACTTCCTTTAAAAACAATTCTGCCAAAGTATTTCTATAATAAAAGTGTTTCAATGTGTTAAATGAACACCAGTGCTCTGCATGTTTTCAACTTCATTAATTTTGAGTATACAGGGCCACTGGAGTTGATGAAAAATTATGATGACCACTGTTTGGTGCCCTTCTAGCTGCCTGTTCCTTAATAATGGGTACTGTCCCAAGATTTCTTTCCTTATGAAGTGTCCCACTTGCACCTTTTGTCAGTGATCTCGACTGGTAGGGAAAACTTCCACTTATGTTGGACTAGCTAGCTCTGACATTTTGAAACAGTGATGACTTACTGTTGTAGTATGGAGCTGTGAAAATATAGTTGTTATTATCTAAACTCCTTTTATAGAAGCTGACTTCATAAGTTTCAGCATTTTCCAACCAATCTTCTCCTGCCCTAAATACAAAAAAAAAAAAAATTATGATCAAAAAAGACAGAATTTCATTAAAGTTGTGCTGCAGGTTATTTTCTTTTAATGTTTCACCGTTGGAAAAAATGTCAGATTCATTCTTCTAGCCCTCAGATTTTGTCAGTTTTCACTGGTTAACTGTCAGGTGTCATTGTTTAAAAAAATAAAATAAAAAAAATAGTATTCTTGGAAAATATGAACACTGTCTCATCACTTTTACATATATGGAGTCAAATAGAACTGCAACACTACTTACAACAAAATCTAAACAAACTTTTACAGCACATGCTATCTCTTGAGCTTAATCCTAAAAGATTTAATACCATTAATAACCCCAAAATAGGAAAGAAACTGTCCTGGGGAGTAAAATTCATTGCTATTTTCACATTTGGGGGAAACACATAATAAACTAAGAAATCAGATAAATCTGCCATTTCCCAGTATGTCTGTACTGGTGCCCTCACTGTTCCCAGTCACTCTTGGGCGTGTCTAGTTTACCCTAAGTCCAATTTTGCATTCCCTTTTTGTCCTCTGATAATGATACATTTTTCTCTCTTGAATTCCCTGGACCATTTGGCCTGATCTTAGTCTAAAAAAAAAGTAAAGCACCTGCTACTTTTCAGTATTTGCATCCTGCCAAACTTAGTTCTTGGGAGTAATTAGGGATTAGCATGGCCCCACTGCTACTACAAGGGCATTGCTTTTACTGCTACTCTGATTAGAAACTTGGATTGCAAGGACCTGTCAAGAAAATAATGTTAGGGATCAGTTTCAAGCAGTGACACAGGTAAAAATCAAAGAAGAACAAGACATTCCATTCACTTTGTAGCTATCAATACAGAATAGACTGTAGGAGATTGTAGTTTTTCATCAAATAAATCCACTTTTTAACATTCCACCCTTTTACATTTCAAAATTATCATATTATACTATTTTATAATAAATCTTACCTTTTGGGAAATACTCTAGTAATTCCACCATCTGTAACAACAAATTGTGCAACAACTCCATCACTGTAAAAAAATAAGATTTAAAATGAAAACTGACTGTAATTCTCACAAGTTCCTACGTTAAGGCTTCCCATTAAAGTGCATAATTGTGAATTAAATAAATATTCTGTGTAAACATTAACTGCATATCTGCATATACACAGAGATGTATATTATTTTAATATCAAACTTTGAAATGCATTTAAAAAATCACAGTCAATAAAAAGAATACTTACAGAGACAGTTTACTCCAATAATTTTGGGCAAGTTCATTTGTAAATCCTGCATCCAGCAAAACTCTAAGGACCATATCAGTATTACCTATCAAAAGAGTTAAAACAATCATCTGAAACTGTAGGAGATGGAGTTTCACTAAAAGGCTAAAATGAAATTCTGAGTTGTCACAAAATTTGGTCTATTTCTATTAGACATACTGGCCAACTCCAATTACATCAATAATTAGTGTGATATAGATTACTCTCACCCTGTTGAGTTCACTTACACATTTCCTTCATTGTATCCTAAAAAACTTATCCTTGTGTAATATGAATACGCCAGGTGATAAGGGTACAGACCCCATCTTTGCAAAACCTCCATGTTAAATCTGGAAATTAATCTATTTTTAAAGCATCTTTTTATTAAAACAATTTTTATCTTTATATGGAGATGTCATGTTTAAATTTCTTTAAAAAGATGGTTTGAAGTCACTGCTTTTCAAGCATCTTTTTCAGTATCACTCTGGAAGAGAAAGTTCTTATAGCATATAGATTATTTCAGTGTGGGGATTTTACTAGTTATTCCTTTTGAAAAGCACTTTTAGCCTTTAGTGTTATTCATTCCTTTGGTTAGTACTGGTTTCTTATTAGGGAGACTATTTTTAAAGTAACTTAATTATTAGGAGGAAAAAAAGGCAAAAAAGTGCCAATTTTGCCGTGTATTCCAAAACTAAATATAGCAATATGTATATAAAATTTTGGAATAAGTATTTATAAAGCCCTGTTGTATACTATAATATCACGAAAAGTGTCCTCACTATTCACATATATAAGTAGCGAATATTAAACTACAATTTTTATTTTATTAAGTGCTTTAATCATTGGTGGTGAACAGTTTCATTTCCAAGACTGAGTCAAGGGATTCAAACAAAATTTCAGTAAGTCAGCAATGTGTCAGTGAATAAGATCACCTTAATAGAAAGTACACCAAACACCTACACATGCACACAAAAATAGCCTTTTGTGAGAAGATCTCATATCTAGGTGCACATTCCTCCAGTTACACGGTCTAATAGAGATTCTTTCTGAACTGATCAGTGATCCCAGACAGCAACATGTTAAAAAAACTTGGGGAATGCAAGACAAAAAAAAAAAAGTTTATTCCAACTATTTATAAATTACTAATAATGCTAAACAGTTGTATGTGTACAAAACCAAATCCAAACATCAAATTTTTGATGAGAACAAGACTTTAATACCTTACTGATGGTTCATTCAAAAGCATAACTCCTTATTTATTTTAAACAGAGCTTGAGGCCCAATTTGAAAACACGAATCCCAAAGCCCAGGCTCACCACTGCAGCAGTTACATGGATCTGTGGTCTTGAGCTATCCAAGCCCCAGTGAGATCTCTTTAACCAATTTGTGAACCAGTAATAGAACATCCTTATCTTTTATCTTGGTTATTGGTTAATTTGGTTCTGGACTCCTTTATTTAGTTTGGAATAAAATGACAAGAAAGCAGACTGAAGATTTCATTACAAGGGGTTGAGTCAATCTGGGACTTACTTTGGCCAATACAGTGAAGTGAAAAAATATAAATTTAAAATATTTGGAGCTATTAAAAAGAATCAGTAGTTATTTGATGCTTGAACAGAATGCTGAGAGGAATTATGGAAAACGCTGGATGCATAATGCCCTGAAAACTTTCTTAAATAAAGCCAGAAACTTGCAAACTAATTTTACAACCTCTACCTTGGATAGAAAATCCTGACACTAGGTATATTTCTACTAAAAAAACAAACCCAAAGGATTTGAGTATGACCTTTCATTTATGAAGAAGTATTTTTCTTCAGAAAAATCTCATTGAATTGAGAAGTATACTTACATGATGAACTGCTTGGAGTATTTCTGTCAATAAATTCGTTGAAATTTAATAGAAATTCAGTGTTGTTTTCTGATTTTTTTACATCATTACAGTATTCTCTGAAAAACAACAGAACATCAGCCTTCTCAGATTTCTTCCCTTTGCTACTAAAGCAGATAATTCTAAAGTCCAAGCGGGATTGTACAACTATGATGAGGTAGCTGCACTACTGTGTCAATCGACTGCCATGATCAATATCGAATGATGACCGCATCAATTATTTCAGGCACGCACAAGAAGTAAGGTGTTCAAGTGACTGTCAAAATCTGCTTTATAGGAAAATTGTATGTATGAAATAGTGCAAAGTTTCCCAGAAAAAATCTCAGGACTATGAAATTGGGAGATCATAATCTGTAAACGAAATAAAAAAATGCCCAGTGAATTTTAACTGCTCCTGGGTTAAACCGTACTGGAAAGCACAGACTGTTGGTGAAACATAGTCACTTTATGCTCGAGTTAGGCCAGATTTATGAACCCATTACCCATAGGACTAAGAACTATTAAAGGCAATTTTAATAGCGTACAGACCACATAAACATATAAAGATTCTGTTTTGACATATGCAAAACAGATAAACAGTAAACTACTCTTCATATAATGTAATAAAGCACTATATCATTGGGTAATTCACTGAATGCAAGCACTCACAATAAAAGCCATTGGGCATTTTGGAGGTAAACATTGGATGGTGAGTGGCATTAAACAACTTTAATTAAAATGTAGAAAGTATTTAGCAGTAAAGCTCTCTTTTTTAAATGAGCTTTTTATATTTAAATAATTTTACAAACAAAAGATGTCTGTTCAAGTATTTCATATGACTAAGATGTCTTATTGTCCTTTATTTATGTTACCATGATCCTGAAATACAATAGGCAGACTTTGCCTTACTACACCAATTTTCACATTTAAACAGAACCACATATCAAACATACTTTTTTAATGTAGGACAGCCTAACAGCTAAGGATTTGTTGGAAACTGCTAGCTGGTACAATTGATTATCAATAAACTCAGTCTTTCAGAAAAATAAATTAAACAATTAAGCTGAGATACATTTTAAGATAGAAGAATTTTATATACCATCAATCTAGTCATGGAAATCAATCTATTAATTGAAATTTAAATGTATACAGAAAATTGTCAGGTATATAAGGAATGTGACAATTCTCAATTGATCTTAACTGTAACAGCATTTCCTTTACATATAATAACCATCTTTTAGACAAACCTAATTTTTAAAAACTGTTTATCATACTAGGTTTCCCTTGCAAACATAAATTTAAAAGGGTCACAAGGTCTGTACAATTTCACATTAAAAACACCAGGGAATTAATGAATTTAATCAATTTTCAATCACTTCATAATTTTTAAGTTCAATGAATCAAAAATTAACTCATCCTTAAGTGATAGAGAGCTTTGAAACCCTTTGTCTTGAAGTTGGGAAACATCTTGACGTAGGTATTATGGAACTTATTTTAAAAATGAGAGCCTAAGGTAAAAAGTTGTAAAATCTTAAAAGTCAGAACCATGAGAAATGAACACACATGTATAAGTCTTCCATTAAAACATCAATATCTGATTTTACCTCTCTCTTTGATGGATATAAACAGGACTCAGAGCCTGAAGATGCTATTTACACTCCAGCAAGAAAAGACAGACAATTTTTTACCAACATGAAACTTTATTCATCAAGGGTGTATTTTCTATGTGCCATTAATCTGATCAAGTGCCAGTTTGCTGAAATAATACTTATTATTGCAAAATTGACTAACCTTGGCGCTATAAATGTATAGCCAGTTTCATCAAAATGCTCAAGCTTCAGGGTTTCTGAAACTACAAAGATGAAGAGTGAACACCAAGTAAGTTAACTAGGATTTTTTACCATAATTTCTCTTCTCAAAGTATTAGGTTATCTTTTGCATGCATCCATGAATTTAGAATGAAATGTTTATTTTGAGACACTTTCCTACTAATATACTGTATACTTCTCAGTATTTCACAGTATACGAAGCAATTACTTATATACAACATATACCTGGAAACAATAAGATATATCTAACAATTTATTTAAAGAGGATGTTTAATTAGCATGGTAACATGAAAACATATGAGATGTTTTCATTAGAATTACAATCCGATACGAAGAAATATTTGGGACACTGAGTTGTTAGAAAACGAAGAAAAATGCTCCTACTATTTTCTGCGATAAAGTTTAAAAACCTCAAATGTACTAATATCACTGTAAATCCTACTGAAAATAATGGCTTTAATAGCTGATATCACTGAACATTGATAGGACCAGACAAAGAAGGATTAGAGATTAGCAACATATTGAAATGTGCATGAAAACTGAAAAATACTTCACTTTTTTTTCCCCTTTCTATTGCTATGGTACCCAATGATTATGGAGAAAATCCTGAGGTGAGTAATACAGAGGAGAATATCCAGTAGGAATAGAAATATAAGTGAAAAATATCAACTGCAGTAAACAGAAGGAAATTGAGCAACAAGAATATACTTGCCATTTCTGAATTTGACTATCCATCAGAAAGAGAAAGCAGGGAAACAGAAAAAAACAGGGTAAAGCACAAGGGGTCACAAACCAATATTTTATTCAAACAGCCCCTTGAATAAAAATATTGTACATAGATAGATCAAAGGTTCAATTTACATACAGCTATAGTCTGGAAAAAAAAGACAAACATCTCTGAAGACTGAAGAATATGCCCTTCTCAATTACCTTCAGTACCTTCTATATACTGTGGCTATTTCAAGGGTCTGTTTTGCAGGTTATACTGATATAAGTGCAAAACCAGATGATCTAGTTCATTAAGAGAACCATAATCTTTCCTTAAAACTTTAATTTTAAACTACTTACTATTGGACAAAGTTACAAAATAAATCACTGATTATTAAAAAGTTGCCATATCCTACTTCATATGCAGGAGGCAATGGTAGAGGAAAGTGATGCAATGCTAACCAAGCTTTCTCTAAACTAACAGTATCTATGTCTGTCAGAGTTTCCCTGTGCTTTTCTAACTTTCTATTTAACTACATACTTGTTTTAAGATTTAAGTTAAAAGGCTGTGATAGGTTCTATTTCGTATACTATCTAGACTACACCTAATAAACAAATAGCATTCCAATATTGACAAGTGTAATTTCTAGCTATCTCTCCAGAATTCGTAAATAGCTTGAAATTAGTCTAATCTAAAAACAGAATAAAAACATCCACTAAAACTATTTGTAAAATGCAAAATAAAAGCCTAACTGCAAGCCAAACCAAACAGGGCTTTCACATTTCTTTATTCCTACATGCAGCAGAGGTCGTCTACTAAATATTATACCGTAACTAAAATACAAAAAATATTTTATTATTATAGTCTGAATCACTACATTTTGCTAATAGAATGAAGAAAAACAGTATCCAGACCCTTAAAATGACAGCAACAGAGGATACACAAAGCAATGATTCTATAGGCACAGAGCAAGGGGGAAGGGATTGTCAGTGGAACTGGGGTACCTGCACATATTCTATTTTTATAGAATATTTCTTGCACCTTGGATGTTACAATGGGTTAGAATCATTGCTGCAGATCTTGGGTACATCATGATAACATTAGTGAATTCCACAAAAGTTATGAATTTCAAATATTGCTTTTTAAGCAAATCTGAGACTTGGCAATACTATACAAAAACAGGGAACCTTCACAGTACTTACATCTGGCTTGAGTTATTGGTTCTTCTATTTTGGCTTTAATGTAATAAAAGCTGTATGATGGTAACACCAATGCCAAGCTGCAATAGAAATTAGACAAGTAAAGCAATTATGTTATTTGCAGTAGTTTTCCACTTTCAGCTTCTCTGTGTTTTGAAAGCAATTAAGTTTGGAAGTTGGATCATTGTGAGATGAGATAGACACATCAGCCTCAGTGACACACCAGCCTCACACTTTGTAAGAGATACAAGTAGATTTATGCCCGTCCTGAGCTTCCCTGTGTTTACTTTCATTCTTATTTATACTTTTAAGGATAAATACATTTTTTAACAGATAGGTAAGTAATTTCCAAATAATTGCAAATAAAAAATAATTTCTTGTATTTTCCTCTGGCACATATAACATTCCAGTGTAACACCGCACAGTGATCACTGACTGCAGAAACATCATTTAGTACTGCGCAGACTTGCACACATCCTATAGTGAGAAAATATCCTTCCACTAATAAAACACCTATCAATATTCATTAGAAAATGCATCTGGCAATACTTGAATTGACATTATATTCAAGATCCAAAATATGTTTTTAATCATGCAGTCACCACTAGTAACTTTTGAGCATAATTGTGTAATATCATTTAAGACTTGCAGAACATTTGCAACATATTTTCTTTTAGATTATATTTATTTTTGTTCAAAAGATATAGGACTTTTTGCAGCTAAAATCAACACATATTTAGAAGAGTGTAGGTCTAAAAAGGTATGTAAAAGACAGGAAGTATAAGTAATCATTAAATAGGTATCATCATCTGCCAGGTCGCATCCTTAATTTTCACACTTGGATTTCATCCATGTAGAACTGCAATGGTTTCTAATGGATAGCTGCAGAAATTAACATTAAAAAAAGTTGTACAGTTGAGCCATAAAGGAGCTGACCTTTAATGACACATTTGCCATTTAAACAGAATGTGAGAGAGATTGCTGAATATTTAGTGATAGCCTTCTACCAAGTCTCCTCTAGGGAAATCAGTGGCAGTTTACCTGTCATTAACAGTTAATGCTAGCAGAAATTGCTAATTAAAATCTATAATTTTATGTTTAATAGGTTTTTCTGCAATGAGACTCCATGGATTTATTGCTGTACCTCATGCCAGGGAGCTCAGGAGGAACTTAGAAGTCATATAAATCAAATGTGTTTCTCTAATGATTGTTAGATGGCAGTCTGATAAAAAACTTTATTTTCTTACAGAGTATAGAGACAGTTCAACAGAAAAATGGTTGAATAAAAGATTGTAGGTTTGCATCCTCTTGTTAAAACTGATTTGTTTGGTTTTATATACAAATTAATGTTTGCATTCTCAGTGACTGTAACCTGGGATCCAGCTTGGCTGAGGACTACTGTAATTCACCACAACAAAAATAGCCTTTTGGTAAAAATTTGACTCAATATTGGTATCATAAAGTTTTGAACTAGAGTAGTTTCACTTCTCTGGGACTTGGTAAACCCTAACTTGGTTTAGATAATGTAGAGTTTCTACATTCGAATGTTACAGAGTAGTGTGCTTAAATGAGTTTGAAATAATATACAGTGCCAGTGTTGCATTCAAGGGGAGATGCTTTTACTCATTATTTCATTTGTTCCTGCTGCTGTTAATCAGGTAATTTTTACATACAAAGCAGAATCCAGGCTAATTAGTTAAACTTGTCAAAAATAGATTCAGATTTCAGAGATAATCAGTAGCACAGCTCCTGCTCCGGAGGTTCCACATGAAGGTTGGAAAAATCATGTTATAAGCAATGACTATGACTGAAAAATATTTACATAAAACAGGTCACATTTTTTTTTTTTTTAGACCAAAACATCACATCTTCCTTTTTAACAAATACATTGAAGCAGGAACATGGAAACAGCATAAAGAAAAGTTGAAATAAGAGGAGGTATCTATTAGAAAGTATACAAGAATCAAAGCATACTGTGATACAGGAAATAAGAGGAAAAGTGAGATTCTTAACATCAATTATAAATAATGTTTTTTTCCTACATAAATCTCAACAATGGGACAAAAAATGCGGTTCTAGTCCTTAGACAGAGCAACAAGGAAATCTGCAAAGGAATCCAGAAAATCCTACAGGCCTGGATACAAAGATCACCTTGTCCTGATTTAGCTAGTATAGAAAGTGTAATGCTAAAAATATTAATCAAAATAAACAAAAAGGACATTAAATTAAGCAAAGGAAGTCAGTGAAGTGAGTTACCTGTAATCAGTGCCATTCACAGCAGTCCATGTATATGTTCTGTTTCCTTTATCAATATACCTCTATGAAGAGATATTAGGAAAAAAAAAAAAAATTAAACTCTGGATCCCCAACAAGTACTACCTTTCTTTGAGAAATACAGTGAAAAATCACATAAAAATCAGTTGGATTTGTATTAATTATTTTGCTGAAAGTGTGAGTTGAGCTGCAACTCCTTTTTTTAAATATTTTCCAAACTTATATTTTGCAAAAGAATCAACTATATAATTTTTATTGAGCATTAACAGAATGTAAATTTAAATAAATCCAGACAAACATGACCTATAATTTTCCCTTTAAAATTTATTATCCAGACCTATGCAAACCTTTTTCTATGTGATTTCAATTTGATAAAAAAATTCTTCCTCTTTTATGGATCATTTTGCAGTTAAACTATGAAAAGAAAAAAAAAAACAACAAAACACAAAACCAAATCTAAGTTGAAAAAAAGGCTTACCTACAAAATCTTTAACAGCAAAAAACACCCAGTCCTGTCCTTTCATGTCAAAACACTACTGGTACTACTGGCTAAATGCATTTAAATTTGAATCAGAATTCTAAGCACAGCTAGGTAATCTTGATTGTACAGATGCATACACCCTATGCTAAACTTACACGTGTTTCTAATCTTGTTAAGAGGGCCTTGGATTTGGGAAAAAAAGTAAACACTGAAGTAAATGTTTATTTTTAAATAACTTAATATATTAGAATAAACTTTACTATTTGCTTTCTTGTGGTATGAAAAATAGTGTCATATGCAGAGACCCACAGTTCCCCATAGATTTAATCATGGATCCACCTGGCTGACATCCTTTTACTCAGTTTTTCACTTTGA